TCTCTTGCTCTTGGCTGCTTTCTAAGTAGATATTCCTTCACCTAGGAAGTCCAGCAGGCCTATGAACATGTACCTTTATATTTCAGGAATGGGTCTCACCAGGATTGATGGAAAAGGTTGCATGTCTCAAATTGCAGTTGGCCCTCCATATTTGCAGCTTTGACTTTTGCAGATTTGATTATTTGCGGTTTTGATTAATACGTTCTCTCTAAGAAGCTCTAAGTCCTCCAGCGCAACTCTGCTAGGAGTTGACCATAGAGTTGTGCTGGAGAACCTAGGTGTTCCTAGAGAAAACACTTCTCTAGGCATTTGTAGGTCCTCCAGCATGAGTCTATGATCAACCTTTGGCAGATGTTGACCATAGAGTTGCACTAGAGGACCTGAAGATTTCTAAAGAGGTGTTCTCTCAAGTAAATAGAATAGCAATTTTTGATTTGCGCTTTTTCTACATTCATGGAAGTCCTTCACCCCTAACGCTGGCAAATGTGGAGGGACCACTGTACTTTCTTTTTGGAGTGGCAGTCCTTCAGAGGAGATCTTTTATACTGAAGGCTTTATATGACAGGAATCAATTGGATTGCATGAAGAAAGCCCATCACATGAGTGGCAGCCACCACAGAGAAGACTGGACCATTTTTGTCATGTATGCAGACCCACTGGGGCAACCTCTTTACATCTTCCTCTACGGTACCTAGGAAGCCTATCCATTAAGTCTTTAATTGGGACCCAAGTTAATTAACTTTTGGGTTCACTGGATTAATAAACCTTGGATCTTGCCTGCCGCTCTCCTTCCCCAGGAATGCAATGAAGACAGGAGAGTGGCACCTGCTCAGGTAAACAGGTTTCCAATGAAGATTGTCCCATAGGTTGTGAAATCATTTTGCAGCAGTCTCTTGAAGGCAGCGGTGACACTTCATTACAGCAGAGGAGAAATATATGGGTCCTACGGCTCTGATGTTTCTGCACACATCATATTTCCAGATGGAAACCTCCTACATCTTTTCTCTCTCCATTTATACATAGATTTGAGAGACAGAGAAAGAGGGAGGCTTCTTCTTCTCCAGCTCAGCTCTGTTTATGCTAAAAAAAGGGGTGGATGGGATGGAAGAAGAGCCTTTCCTCGGCTGCTGGGCCTGGCTGCTCTTCTCTCCTTCAGAGAACACAGAAATGGCAATTGGCATGGAGGGAGGGAATCAACGTCTAGGGAGTTTGGACGGGGGTCTCTGGGAATTTGGGGGCCTCAGAAAAGAGATCTGGAGTTTCATGAGACCCACAGACCACTCTTTGCCTGTTCCAGGTGTAGGGCATTTCTTTGCCAGTCCAACAATCTGCTCCATCTGCTCCTCTCTGCTTCCTTGCATAAACAGATGCAAAATGACTCCAACCGTTGTATGAAGCTTTTTAAGGGTAACTTTATTCCAAGCTGACACAGGGATGCGCATGTGTGGGGAGCTCTGCCTCCGTCACGGATCGATTAACTTTCCACAGGTATCTCCTAGTCCCGAACCTCTGTTGCAATCATGGAAACAGAATCAGGGGATGAAGCCGCCAAGCATTACAGATTCCAGCCGTGGTATCTTGAGGATTTATTTTGCTCCAAGTATATTTAAAGATCAGCGGAAAGCCTCCGGCGTTTGTCAGTCAAAGGAACTCAGGAAATTGCCAATGCTTTGCTCTGCTCAGTTTCTCAGAAGGCACCAGAAAGGAGAGGCCTACAGCTAACTATCCGAAATTTCAGCCTTTTCTTCTTCTTCTTCATGAAATGCATGGAAAGTAGCAAGCAGCTGGATAGGAGATTCATGTCTCATGGAAATGTTCATTTGGGAAAAGGGTCACTTTTACAAATTGTTTCCTTTTTAAAAACCCTAGTCTGTCTTGATCAAGGGTGGGTGAGTGGGGTATAGGCAGAGAATTTAGTGCCCTGTCCAGTTTGTTTTCCTCCTTGCTAACTCTAGAAGGAAAGGCAGAGTTCAGCATTTTGGAGAGCAGCGCTAATGGCCAGGCTAAAAAATGGCAGCTCCAATGTCAGTGGGGCAGCGAATCCACCCCATGTTTTAGCCTCAAAACGATAAAGGAGTTCTCCAAGGTGCTGAATGCATTGTGTTGCTTTTAACAGAGCTATCCAAGGTGCTGAACCTAAAGGTGGATAGCACCCATAAAATTCAGTCTAAAACCCAAGATGTATTCATGACCCATTGGCATGGAAGCCACCAGCTGTCCCTGTAACCCTAACCCTAAACATGGCAGCTCCAATGTCAGTGGGGCAGCTAATCCACCCCAGGTTTTCGCCTCAAAAATGATAAAGGAGTTCTCCAAGGTGCTGAATGTATTTGCTTGATTTTAATGGAGCTATCCAAGGTGCCAAATTCAGTCTAAAACCCAGAAAGGATTCACGACCCATTGGCACGGGTCAGAACGGATTCATCATAACTCTGTAAACATTTGCTCCTATTCAGTGATGGTGTTTTTCTCTCTCTTTAATTAAACAGTTTGAAGATGTTTCCCTCTGCTTCCTCTTTGCAACATCAATTAAATAGAAATGCAAAAGACAAAAGAAACCAAAACCCACAAAGCAACAGGCGGATTGTTCCAAGAGGCCCTGCATGCAAATTGTTTTTCCTCTGGATGAATGAATGAATGAATGAATGAATGAGTTGGCAATGTTGACCGAGTCTTTGTCTGAACCAGAGGGCGCTCGTGTGACACACGAAAACCTGCAGGTTTTGTGTGGCAACGTATCCACTTGTTCTCACTAAGGACAGGTCTTGCACTTAGCTGGACTGGTCCTTTGCAAATTTATTTCTTAATTAAAGTATTAAGCTCCTGCCCTATAGCCAAAGAACTCAAGGTGGCAGACAATAAAATCAGTTTGAAGAATGGAAAACAATTTAAAATGTAAAATAGTAAAAATAAAATATAGTCTATCTACAGTAAATCTCTGTTTTTCCGATTCCTGATGGATGCTGAGAACAATGAAGCAAGAGTTTTGTCCCATAGCTTTGCAACATTCAGGAGTCCCATCCTTTTCCCCCAACAATGATGGAAAACTGTGCGGATCTCCTATAAAAGTTCTGCAACTTGCCGAGAAAACTGGGTAGTTTTCTAGAAATCCGGTAGCTTTGGCACAGAAACTGAAAACTGTGCAGCTTTCCTTCTGGAAGGGAAATTGTGCAACTTTCAGACTGGAGAAAGAGGTATACAATGTGCTCAACCTCAGCCTCCAAACAGACTCCATCCAAATTCAGATTAAAACCCAAAGCAGATTCAGCATAGCATAGATACAGGAGGCTGCAAGACGCTGTTGTCTCAATCTTGTTTCAGCCGCTGGTGGAAAAAACTCTTGGCAATCTCTCTGTCTCTTCCAAAGGGTCAATCAATGCCTGTTGCATCCTGACATGTCACCTCTCTGCTTCCCCAGATTCTGGATGGCATCTCATGGGAAATATAAGGAGTTATAAGGAGACCATTGGCATATTATCAGAGGTGGGCAAATGTGGGAGGTAAGGAGGCAACCACGCTCCACCTCTCCCAAAATGTTTTTGCCTCCAAATGTCCTCTAATGCCTTGTAGAGGCTGTCGGAGGCATTTTACGCTTGTGGTTGTTGTGTGCCTTCGAGCCGTTTCTGACTTATGGTGACCCTATCTTGGGCTTTTCTTGGCAAGATTTGTTCAGATGAGGTTTGGCCAGATTTGTTCCTCTGAGGTTGAGAGCATGTGACTCACCCAAGGTCACTCAGTGGGTTTCATAGCCAAGCTGGGAATCGAACCCTGGTCTCCAAAGTTGTAGTCCTCAACTATTTTGCTACCTCTTGTTCCCAGGCGAGGCATTTTTTTTTCAAAACAGGTTTTTAAAAAGCCCTTTCCTAAAATGGCAAAAGGAGGCCTCAAATGTGGTGAAAATGGCCCAACACCCCAAGAAGGCATTTGGGGCAATTTGTTTTACCC